ACCAGTCGATGACTATCCCGGTCACGCAAAAGGGGAAAAGCTGTGTGTCCAGTAACGCTCGCTTTCAAGGACCTGTGGTATTCCGTTCCCAGCCCTTCTGAGTCCAAAGCCAGTATCGACCTGCTGAAAGGCATCAGTGGATACGCGCTTCCAGGCACCATCACGGCGCTTATGGGGTCCTCGGGTGCAGGTAAAACCACGCTCATGGACGTCATCGCTGGACGTAAGACTGCCGGCAAATCACAGGGTCTATCCTATTGAATGGCTACCCAGCCACCGAGATTGCTGTCCGTCGAGCCACAGGTTACTGCGAGCAGATGGATATTCATTCAGAAGCGTCTACATTCCGGGAGGCTTTGACGTTTAGTGCATTTCTGCGTCAGGATGCCGCTGTTCCCGACAGTGAAAAATACGACTGCGTGAACGAGTGTCTTGAACTTTTGGACTTGTCCTCGATCGCAGACCGAGTAATCCGTGGAAGCTCGACAGAGCAGATGAAGCGACTTACGATTGGCGTGGAGTTGGCAGCGCAACCTAGCGTGTTGTTTTTGGACGAGCCGACTAGCGGACTGGACGCACGTTCCGCCAAGCACATAATGGATGGTGTGTGAAAGGTTGCAAATACCGGTCGCACCATAGTGTGTACAATTCATCAGCCGTCTGCCGCAGTGTTCAGTGTGTTCGACAGCTTATTGCTTCTAAAACGTGGAGGTGAAACAGTATTTTTCGGTGATTTGGGAGAGAAGTCATCGCTTCTGATCGAGTACTTTTAATCCATCGATGGAGTGATGAAGATGGAGAGAAATTCTAATCCAGCAACGTGGATATTGGAGGTGATCGGTGCTGGCGTGGGAAATGTCAGCAACGCAACGGATTTCGTTAAGCTTTTTACAATAAGTACCCAAGCTCGGCAACTTGAGATTACTCTGGATCGCGAAGGATTCACCCGACCTGCATCATCTACACCTGCCTTGGCGTTTGACAAGAAGCGTGCAGCTAACAACTCGACCCAAGCGAAATTCCTGATCAAGCGTTTCTTCGATATCTACTGGAGAACGGCATCGTATAATCTAACCCGATTCTTCATTTCGATCATGCTGGGAATCGTATTTGGCATCGCCTACGTTGGCTCTGAGTATTCATCGTACCAGAACATCAACTCAGGATTGGGGATGGTATTCATGACACAAAATTACATGACCTTTATCGTCTTCAGCAGTGTCGTGCCCGTCTCGATTCAAGAAAGAGCGTCCTTCTACCGCGAGCGTTCGGCACAAACGTACAATGTTATCTGGTACTTCATTGGCGCCACACTTGTCGAAATTCCGTACTGCTTTGTGGAGACGTTGCTGTTTGTCGCCATCTATTACCCCATGGTGGGGTTTTCAGGTTGGACACAGTTCTTCTCATACTTGATAAATCTTTCTGGTCTCGCGATTTTGCAAGCTTACTTTGCTAGCATATTTGTGCCCCAAATTGGAAGTCGCCTCCATTTTGGTTATCATGATCAACTACATCTGGATCACGTTCACAGGCTTCAACCCACCGACTGCTTCTATCCCCCAAGGCTACCGATGGTTGTACCATTTGACCCCTCACAAATACACGTACGCTAGTTTGGTTGCCATTGTGTTCGGGGACTGCCCAAGTGGTAACAATGGCAGCGAGCTGGGCTGCCAACAAATGACAGGTACACCGCCAAATCTCGGAAGTGACATCACTGTAGCATATTTTCGGCAAGACACAGTGAGATCTGGGAGAATTTCGGCATCATTTTGCTCTGGATCGCCTGCCTTCGTGTTGTTTCGCTTCTGGCGCTTCGATTCGTTAGCCACCAGAAGAAGTGATCGATCATCGTGTAACTAACAATGTTGCAGAAAACTTCAATGCATTTGCACAGCGTAGTTTTAGAAGTACTACATTTTCAGGGAGTAGTGCTACTGTAGTACTACGTAGAAATGAAATGTCGCTTCGTCTTACTACAGTAGTATAGCTTAGATCGAGCATCTTGGAGAAACCCTGGATTAAATCCAGAGAGCTAGTTTCGTGCATTTCAGAGGCTTTTGCTGTTTCACTTAGCTCCATCGTCGATTCATAGTAAAGTACATGTAGAATGAGGTCTTTTTATTTATTGTAGTCCAAAAGGCAAAACGATCTAGCTTTTACTACAGTAATAAGGAAGTACTTGCACTGCTTACAGATTTTATTAGCAAGACTATCTTATAGTACTACTTGCACTTCGACGGACAATTACTAAAATAGTAGTACAATTCTTTCTACAAATATAACAGTACTACTACTAGAAGTAATATTTAGCTCATTCTACTACTAGTAGAGGTAGTACTACTGTAGTAGTACGGTGTATTAGTTCTGACGAGAAAGCACATGCGATACGTTGTAGTAGTAGTTCAATTAAGGACTACTAGAGTACTAGTACTACTAAAGTTGTGAGTTTTAAAGAGGTTGGCTATCAGCTTGCAGTTAAAAAAGCTATAGTTTGTGTGTCTTCACCGTCGCACTCAGTGGATTGACAGATATAAAAGATGTTTCATCATCGCCAACAAATAGTCATACATGCTACAAATGCATCGCATAAAGTGAATACTGGAAGTATCAGAGCTTTTTTTGTTTCTCGATTCTCACCAACGCGGGCCGATGGCCTACTCAGATGACCGTCGTGAAAACTATCGAGATAAAGGAATCATCATTTTCCCCAGTCTGAAAGCACGCAAAACCCCTCAACACGAACAAGACTTGTGTTCCTTGGCCGCACTTCTGAACTGAGCTGGTTTTAGATTTTTGCTTTGGACCCAGTCAAATGGGTGGCTAGCCGTGCCCATGCTCTGATTCGTCCAAACGCCTTCTTAAACTGTCTTATTGGCCAAAATGGCGACTTCTTACGAGCGTAATTACGCTTTCCTCGACTATCTAAATCTGCATTTTGTATAATCCAACTGAGGCATTCGTCTTGAAACGAAGCACTCGGCGATGGCGCCTGGTCGGCGGGAGATTCGTGCGTGGCGCAAGGAGCACGACGTTGGCAATCGTCGTGTCAGCGCAACCTCCAGCCAAGACGTCGCCGCTCCCAGTGGCAATGGTTTGTGTTGGATTGATCGCTGTAGCCTCTAGCCTGTTGCGCAAAGCCCCTCTCAAAAGTTACCGTCCGTTCTGATTATTGTTTTGCTGTTGGCAGTCCCGTTCGAAGAACTACTAGCCCGAGAGCTGCGTAAATCAGAAGGAATTAACACTAAAACGTCAGTGTCAACAAGCTCTAAGGTGTCGAAGAAGCCTTTTCTCAAGAAAGGAGCCCGTGGCTGGTGGATGCGGCAACCAGATGCTAAGCAGAAGGTAGTTAAACACACGCTCGTGTCCAAGGGAGAAGAAGAAAAGACTATCAGTAGGACAGCTTCAGTGACTCAGAAGAGGCAACCAACGCAACAGCAGAGAAGGAGAAGGCCCTCGTCCGCCTCGTCATCGAAAACGTTGTCTCCAGTCGCGACACCGACGCAGCAGATTCGGACTGCCCCAACACCGTCACAGACGCTTTCACCACCAGTGTCGCCGATTCGACGGAAACAATACAGTAATCAAGTTGATAATGACGTAGACGAAAAGCTGCAGAGGAGGCAGCAGAATGAAGATTTTTGCATCGTGGAAGAACGCATCATTCCGCTCTACAACGAGTACTGACATGGGCTTGAGAACTGTGCGGCAATCGTACGAGGCAAAGCAGCAACGTGAAGCCAATGAGAATGGCAGAAGTCGAGGCGATTTGAGCGGGATCTGGCGGCAGAGAAAGGACGCATACTTGAAGGAGAAGCAGCAGCAAGAGGACCGACAAGATCAGGTCCATGACAACCAGACTGGCCACTGGGGTCTTCCGTACTCTTCGTTCGTGTCGGAGCTTCATGATCAAGAGCAGTCGAGGTGGCAAAATGCCGAAGCGGAGTCGATTTTTGACGATAGTTTGGACGAAGGAGCGGACTCGGCGCTTGTGTTTGACGACCACTCAGCCCTGTCAAACGATGACTGGGTGGCTGAAGACGACAGATTTGCCAACCAGCTTCGCTCTCATTTTGGATACGGGAACGATTACGGCAGCCCACCTTCAGACTTGAGTGCTCTTAGCTTTGACGATTCTGTGCCGTGGGACGAGGGGTTATTATTTCAGCCACGACAAAGCTTGGAGCATGAACAGTCTTCTAGTGTCGGTGACTTGTTAACTCGTAAGAACAACCAGAGTAATGATCCAGTTGGCACAACCACCAGGCAGCAAACAACTAGACGCGGCGTATATTTCGCTGACCCGGACGACGACGGTCTTGCAATGAACACACCTGAAGGGGAGGCACCTGTCTCGTCATTGGTCCAGCAAGTATTCGGAGGCGCTAACCAGGATGAAAGTGATGATTCTAGCATGCGTTCCGATGGAAAAGAAGGAGGCTCGATCAATGCTGGATATGGCAGAAACAAGAAGAACCTACATGTATCTCCACCACCGCCACCGGCTGCTCAGGACAAATCTTTATCGACGCTGAAGCAGAAGCTACGTGGTAAGCAAAATCCACCCGTTGCACGGGCGACGACGGGCAAAAGGAAAGGAACGGGACCGCCGAAACCGAAATCTACCGTGCCCTCGCGCACCCCAGCCAAGCCAGAATCAGGAGCAAATACAGGGAAGCTGACGCAGCCTCGAGATCGAGCACCGCCTACAGGCTCCGCTGGTTTAGTATTGCCAGCTGTGATCGAAGAGAAACTGTATGAGCTGGAGGAGGAAGTCAAGTTCTACAAATCCGAGACACTTCAGCTTCAGAAGCGCAGGGATTATTACGACCAAGAAGTGAAGAAGCTAGCTACCGAACGGGACGAGTTTGTCCGATATCAGCAGGAACAGCGCGTTCTGCTCGAGAAGGAGTGGGAACGGGAGCGAGCCAAAATGAAGAAAGAGGAGAAGTTGCAGGAGCGACAATGGAAGCTGCGGATGAATGCAACGATAGCTCATCAAGATCGCAAAGACTGCAGCGAAGTGGAGATGCTCAAGGCGCAGATTGTGAAGATGCAGCTTGACGAGAAAGATCGTGTGAGTAAGCTGAAGGCTGCGAACGACAACTTGCGACAGCGTGTTGCGGTATGTGTTGGGTCTATTGTATGGGGTTGGTTAAGTTGTCCTTAGCTTAACTGTTGCGCTGTTGCGTCATGTACAGGAACTTGAGGAGAAAAACCGGGAGCTCAGTGATGAAGTCAAATTCCTTGAGAAAGATCGTTTGGAGCAGTGGGACAAGTACGAGCGATTGCTAAAAGAGCAGCAAGAACCGCCCAGATCAGGTTCAAAACCTGAGATTATTTCTGCAATCAGAGAGAAGAACGAACTCCGTACGGTAGGTGACGTTTTCGCAATCAAAGGAACAGCTGACGAGCTGCTACAACGGTGGAATTTCCCTCGTGACGATGGCTTAACTCAAGACCGTGACGCATTTACGCCAACCTCTGAACACCTCCAAGCGGACGTGTACAACCCGAAGCGGTACAGTTTGGATCGAGAGGATTCCCACCCTGCGAGCGAGCTAGGGAGCCTTGAAAGTGCCAACGAAACCGGCTTTGCGAGTGCCGCTGCTACTTATGAATGGGCACTGCCTGATGCTGAAGACGATAAAGCACTGCATACTGCTGGTTACTCAGGTGATAATGCCACCTCCGTATCAACTTTGTCTCTGTCCGAAAACAAGACGGTCGCGCAAGAGATTGACCATCCGGGTGGGAAGAAAGAGCTGCTGTTTACGGACGGCAGCAAGAGAATCATCTTCCCAGACGGCAACGAGAAGGAGATCGACGCAAACGGCCACGTCGTCATCAGATTCACGAACGGTGACCACAAAGAGGTGAGCTGGTCGTCCAAGGTTAAAGAGTGCTGGATAATCTAAGACTAACGCTGGTTTGTTGTTGCTGCAGGTCTTCTCAGACACTGGGATCAGTGTATATTACTACCACGAGGCTCAGACGAAGCTGACAACATATCCGGACAACAGGAAAGTATATGAGTTCCCGAATCAGCAGATCGAGACGAGTCTGCCGGACGGAACGACGGAAATCCAGTTTGCTGACGGCATCAAGAAGACAATCCGCCCGAATGGCGACGAGTTCTCTGTGTTTCCGGACGGAACCACAATGTTGGAGAAGCCCGACGGCTTGCGGGAGGTGACGCTGCTCAACCAGAAGAAGATTCGCTACTTTCCGGACGGACAGATGGCCTGTGTCACCCCCGAGGGCCAGGAGACTCGCGTTCGCTCCGATTTGGAGCTCAAACAGCTCATGACGAGCGCATAAAGTACTGATGAATGCATTACATAACTTATTTATCGATGGTGCATTATGTACACTGTTGTGCAAGTGTATGACGGTTACGGCTACATGCTCATAATCATCCGGACACTCTTCTTTTTTGTATGGAGTCTCTGTCCGGGGTCGGAGTGTCTCGGGAACTTTCATTACGGAATCGAGACATGGAAGCATACCTGCGTAAGCATTGGCCCCAAGGCTCCGTGTCTGTGAGCTGCCGTGTGTACGCGAGTCAACGGCGTGCTGATGAGCACAAGCGCCTGCTGCTGACGGCCAAGGGCATCGAACTGCGCTCTGTGGGCTCGTCGTCGGAGCCCGACGTGATCCCCTGGGGCTCGATAATCGGTGCGTCTGAGTCCACTAGTGGCATTCGTCGCCGCTTCGTGTCGGTGTACGAGGGCGACGAGTACGGCGAGGAGAAGGAGTTTGTGGTCTTTGGATGCGTGTCCAAGCTCGAGAGCGAAGGCTCGGGAGGGCTTCTCGGTAGACTGACGTCCTTAGCCAAAGCGGTGTTGCCCACGGCGCTCACGGCTAGTAAACCTGGGGTGGAGAGGACGCTTGTGCAGTGGGTATTTAGGTGTGATGACGCAGACGGAGATGCTGCGGCTATGAGAACAGTGAAAGCCATCAGGTTCCTGGCCGACCCGAGAGTCGAACAGGGTATCAAGGCGACGGAGAAGCTGCTGGATCCGTATGGATCCTTGCCGCCTCGTAAGGTGAGCTGACTGAAATCTAGTGGATAGAAGGGAGGAAGTTGATACTGATGATTCAATCTGCTGTAGTTCATGGTGGTGATTAATCCTGCTGGAGGCAAGGGTAATGCGCAGCTGACGTTCGAGAAGGAGGTGGCGCCGATATTGGAGCAGGCCAATGTGGTGGTGGAGACGATTATCACGAAAAAGGCAGCGCATGCGACCGAGATCACGGCAGATGTACCGCTGAACCAGTATGACTGTATTGTGGCAGTCGGAGGCGATGGACTGCTGTCCGAGAGTGAGTGGACTGGGATTCGATTGCAGCGGTTTATAAGAAGAGCTGACGGTGTTGATTGTTGTTGCAGTGCTGCAAGGATTGATGAACCGTAAGGACTGGCAACAAGCGATTCTACAGCCACTTGGGGTGCGTGTGCTCGTTCGTTTCTCTCTTTCTGCCGTTTATATGGATAGTTTTGACGCAGTATTTCTTGCCGTGACAGGTCATCCCGGGTGGATCTGGCAACGGTCTGTCTGCGTCGCTATTGTCGCGTGTCGGTGAGCGCTTCGACGCAATTAACGCAGCCTATTCTCTCGCGAAGGGTCAAGTTCAAGAGCTGGACCTGTTCACTGCGACGAACGGCGATGGCAAGACCATGCACGGGTTCTTGTCGCTTGAATGGGCATTTATCGCCGACATGGACATCAAATCCGAGCGATATCGCTACTTCGGGGACATGCGCTTCCTCATATCGTCCACCTTGCAGATCTTCGGCTTTGGACAGACGAATTATCCTGGTCGGCTACGATATCTCGTCTCCAAAGACGATGAGCCTCAGCCGGCAAAGTACCACGAGATGTTTAATGGAGAGACAACAGCTAAACCGACATGCGTGTGTCTGGACAAGGAGAAAGACGAGGAAGAATCTGAGCAGTGGGTGGAGGTGGATGGCCCGTTTTACATGTTCTGGGGTATGAACGTCTCTCATGCTGCTGCGGATGCTCACATTGCGCCCACTGCGGATATTTCTGATGGCTACCTCCAAATGATGCTCGTTTCTGGAGATAGTTACTCGCGCTTGGGACTTGCTAAGCTGATGATGGGGATTGAGGATGGCTCCCACTTGGACGTGGATCGCGTGCAGCTAATCCGCACACGTGCGCTCTCGGTGCGTGCAAGCAATTCAGACGATCTCATGTGCGTCGACGGCGAACTATTCCCTGGCCCGGAAGTGAAGACTGAGGTACACCGCGCATTGGGTCGTGTGTTGTGTCTTCCACCTAAGAAGTGACATGGAGACTATTACTGAGGCTTCGTCATCGAAACGAAGCGACCTACTGATATTGTTTAAAGTATGACTCGGTCGTTTGACCGAGAATTACGGGTAGTCCGAGCTCCTTATCGAGCCCGCAGCAAGGTTTGAATCCCGCACGGTGTGCTTCTGATCGGATCCAAACTGGTAGCAAAACAATTTGAACTATCGCTGTGGGTTGTTTACCTGAGTCGTTTAGTAACGAGAACGGCGTTGTGATGTTGATATTGTGTTCTTTATCTGAATGCGATCTTTTCAATTCCTATACCGGTAACCACGCTGCGTCTCTTTTCATCCCCACTTACATTGCATTGTCCCCTTGCGCATTTCTCCACACTCGAACTTGTTCCTCGATCTGTGCTTGTTGGTTGTGGAGAAGATCGGGACCAATTCGTTTAAATACGTCGACATTATTCGAATCATCGGCATACGAAAGCCCAAGTAGCTCACCAGCGATAAGAAGGTCCATCAACTTGTCAAATAATTTCGTTTGTGGTCCACGAATTCGACCTTCGCTTTCAACTCGTACTTGCGTAGCATGTCGACGCTCCAAGAACTCGAAGGCTGCAGAACGAGTGACGCAATTCCCGTTTAACATCACCAGTTCTTCCCAGAAAACCGCCGTTGCTGCTGAACTCGGGACAGAATCGTCAGCGTTTCCACGAAGTAGCTCCTGCAAGTCTTGCATGGTGAGCTTCTCCTGTTCTTTGCGTCCAGGAGCCACACCCAAACGTTGCAGTCCCTCATCTTCGTCGTTGATTTCTTCCTTGCTCTCCTGGTCGTCTTCTGCGCCGTGATCCTTGAGCTTGTGACCAAGTCGAAAGATACGCTCCTCAACTGAGCCCTGGACGATAAATCGGTGGACACGCGTTTGTCGGGTCTGGCCCAGACGATGAACACGGTTGACAGCTTGTGCTTCAATGCTACTACTGAGCAGAGGCTCAATAAGAAGCACCTCGGTCGCTTCCACGATGTTCAGCCCATTAGCGCCTACTTTAAATGGAAGTGCCAGTACACAGGCCGCCGGACAAGCCTGAAACTGCGCCAGAAGCTTTGGCAGTTGCCGCTTTGTCCCGTACATAAAGCAGTACACCCCAACTCGACGCAGCGGTTGCATCACCAGCTCCAACATCTGAGACCACTGCGAGAACAACAAACATTTCACACTGGGGTTCTCTTGTCGAAGCATTTCCACTCGCTCCAGCAATGCGTCCAGCTTAGATCCCAGACTCCCACCGTCACAGTGTAAGGGTGAAGGATGGCTTGGGACTTCAGAAATGGCTTCACCTTGACTAAAATCCTCCAAGTTAATTGAAGTGGACTCTGACGCTAGCCTTTCCACAACAATGGTGACATTTTCGATAGCACAGACACGGCGGCACGTCGGACAGCGGATATTCTTCCTGGCATGTTGGCGATCTCCTTTCAGGTCCGATACACACCTCGTGCAGAACACGTGTGCACATGGAAGCACGGCGCGTCTCTGCGGGAGTTCCTGGAGACAAACAGCGCATACTGGACGAACAGACGAAGACTCCGCGCTTGCTTCGAGATCATGCGCTTGACGGGTACTCGACTCGCTTCGAAGTTGCAATAAATATCGCAGCTGAGCCAATTTGTCCTTCAGAGCTAAGTCAGCTGCCACGCGTTCTGCTTCCAACTCAGCTACACGAACGGGGACCTCAACGCGCTCCAGTTTATACAATCGCTCAGCTTTAGTGCGTCCTGGTGGTTCATCAGGATGCCGCAGACGTAGCTGGCTACAAGCCATGACTAGCTCATCCAGCGCTCCCAAACGCTGATGCTGCGCCTGAAACAGCTTTTTTCCAGCTTGCCATTCACGCTGTAGGTTTAGCCAGAAGTCCGTCTCTGTCTGCATACCAGTCTGAATTACGAGAGCTAGCCCTCTGCCATCCTCCTGTCCGCGTAGTGCACTGCGAGCACAGCTCGAAATTTCCTTGAAAATCTCCATAAACAGAGACGTCGACAATCCACCACTACTGTCGTTTGCAGTGTCCTCGTCCACCATGTCATCATCGAACAAATCCACAATCCTCGTGTTGATAAAGGAAGTTTTATCGACTCCAAGAAAGTGTCGCCGATACGCATCCAGCTCTTTGTACAGCTGACAGTGGATACAAACTGGACCAGTTCCACCATCCCGACATTTTTTGCAATTGCCAGATAGCTCCACGTCCGAGTCCGTCGGTGTGTCTTCACTCAGGGCTGTGAGACGTTTAAAAAGATCGCGACGCCGTATTGCCAAGACTTCCAGCTCGCGCACGAGTAAAAGTCTCAGAGACCGCGCGCTGACAAGTTGAGAGCAAAAGGTTGTCCCCCAACGCGTATCGAAGCCAGAAAGCCGGGCTTGCACTCTGTCTACAAGTTGCGCACCGCTGCCTTGCTCACTCTGTTCAATGATGGCCAGCGCATCACTCCACCAATTCCCCGAAGAACACAACAATTCTGTCTTGGCTCGTGTGGAATGCTGTTGGCTATCGTCGATCATTTGAAAAGCCGCTCTGAAGTTTGTAAGAGCTCGCGTATGCTTCATGTCTGCTTGGAGTAGGTAGTACTGCCGGATTTGCCTGGCGCTTTGTCCCAGCAAGGCACATTCGCGACTAATATCTTTGTGCTCTTCATCACTCAGATCATCCGAGTCAGGCAGTAGTCCCGTGAACGAGACACGTTTCTGAAGCGACGGGAGCTCTGGAAGCAGGCATACCTTCTTCGGGTCCACAGCGCTGCCCATATCGGACAGTGATTCGCTCTCGTCATCCACGCCACTTTCACGTAGTGAGTAGAGCTGACAAACGCACTTCTCGAGGTTTTGTAAAATGTGTAGTCGCGGAAGCAGATCAGCACGGAATTGTGGCCAGTTGGTGCGAATTAGTTTCATGACAGCCAAATACTTGAGTGCGGCCTCAGACACTTTGTCTTCGAGTACCAGCAGCGCAGCCAAACCATTCTGCGCTCCGATAAGCTGTCGTTGATCTTCTTCGCACTCTCGTGTAGCCTTGTTCACCAGTTCTTGTAGGAACGCATCCATGGTCATCACAGCTCTACTCGTAGTATTCCCAGAAGAGCCCCAAACTTGTCGAGCGCCACCAACCTGAGGATGACAGCATAGTTGCCGCAAAACCAGTAAATCTTGCCACAAGAGGTCATCTCGATCAATAATGTGGCTGGTTTGGACCGACTGTTGTTGCTGTTGTTGTTGCTGCCGCTGCTGAATCAGAGACACGACCCGCTTCTCCTGTTGGTCATAAAAGTGCCTTTCAACAGCGGTAAAACGACACCACACGACTTCACTAGTCTGCGGTGGGAGACCCAGCTGATCCACCACATGCTTCTTTCCCGTACGCCCTCTTACCAGCTAGCGCCTCGCACACACTTCGGCTAGCACCCACCCAGCCTTTGAACATGTCCAACACAATTCAAACTGACAAGAATGTTTGGACGCGCGCCAGCGATAAATGCACGCTGCCAGACGATCTACCGCGAATCTATCATGCATGCCGCATCAGCACAGGTCACTAGCAATAATCTGTAGTCCTCTACCTGCGATGAAGTGTACGGCGGAACGCGTAAGAAACGTAAGTAGCCGAACAATTCACTGACGCGCGACGAAAACGGAGTACCGGTGACTACCCATCGGTTCTCAGCACTAAGTCTCGATAGCGTTAGGGCTGCTTGTAGACGTGTATTCTCCACGCCTACCTGTGCTTCATCCATACACACCCGCCAAAAGTATAAGGTCACTAGAGGAGAACCCACAAACGCATAACGTTTAAGTTGGGATCGTGTACTAGATCGTCGGTCCTTTCCTTCAGTTGTTGGCACGTATCGTAGGTCTGCACCCAGCGCCTCATACGTTGTTAAGACGACATCGTATCGAGCTAGCACAAGACCCGGAGACGCTAAAACTTGCCATTCTGCACTTGGCCCACCACCCTCCAGTCGGGTCTTGAGAGCGCGAACACCCGGATAGCGCATCACGGAGAGAGCACCCGCACGTACATGACGAGAAACTTCATGTTCCCACTGTGCGTGAATTGGCTCTGGCGACACGATAAGAGTTGTACGACAAGAAAAAGTTGGTCTCTCGTGGCTCTGGCAGTGATAGCACATGAATCCACCTCTTGACCAGGTCGTGGTTGCTCCGTTTCCCGCTCGATCCGACTCAAAATCCCAGAGAGTATTCGAACTGGTGGTATAGTCTAATGCGGACTCGCTCTCTTCGACTTTGTATCCTGTACAGAGCTGGTGGTGCCACGTTCCACAAAACCCACACTGCACAAGCCCCATGGGATGGTCTCCCGATGAGCCGCAGATGCATGCCACCACATCACTGTCTTCTTCATCCCCACTCGCAGCCAAATGATGCTGAGATGAGTGAGTTGATAGCAGTCGAGGCACTGAAGACGAAGTTCGATGGCTCAAAGTGAGAGCGATCACCTCGACGGTTTTCCCGAGACCCATTTCATCAGCTAGAATCCCACCGTGCACCCTAGAAAAGTCCATTCCAGAAGGTCGAAGTTGCTCTTGCTGCGTCCAAGGCACGCCGGGTGGGGCTGCGTAAAATGCTGCACAGAGCGGATCATACGCCTGTAAGTCCTTTGCAATGTCTTCACGAAATGTGACACACAAGGGCAGCGAATTATCACTTTGCGTGGGTGATTTCTCCCTGGAAAGCATCCAAGACACCGCAGCTTTCTGATATCTTCGCAACGTTGGAAGCAAATCTGCTAAAGTCGCCTCGATAGCTTCGTACTCGCTAATATCATGATCCAACTGCTTTGTTGCGTCAATTCGGGCGTAAATTTCAGGCATAGCAAAGCCCTGATCTTCAAATTGCGCACACGCAGCGGTATTGTCCCCCACGAAGCGATCGTACAGCACTTCAACCTCCTTCCAGTACCGAAATCGACACGCCGCATTAGCTTCTGCCAATCGACACTCCACATCGTGTATCTTTTTAAGCAGCCAGGTCATCACACGATGCATGGAGCGCATCGGATTCGCTCGGGGTGCTGCTACCATCGGACCCAGACTGCTTGAGAAGTAGTTTTCCATGTATTTGCGCCACGCTACACTGACCGCAAAGCTAAATCTCCACTGATCCTTTTCTGCCTCGCACTTGGCGTTTATATGAAGACTCAGGAGCCCACGTTCTGCCAACGTAATGAAATGAGATTTCCAAGGCTCGTACGTGCACGGGAAGAGATCGGCAAGTGAAAGAAGGGGGTGTGCTTCAGCATCTTCTCGTCCTTTGACCTCCAGCTTCGCTTGGTCGTTCTCTAGCAGTGTCAGATCGATTTGCAATTGCGCGACACTTTCGATATCGTTGCCGATGCATACTGCCGTTAGAGCGGGCGAGAGAGATGAATCCACCGGGATTTCAACCCTCAGAGCGTCCTCCTCGCTCCAACCGCCGGCTGTTGCGACGTTTGAAAGGTACACAGGCTCAGTACGCTGTCGCTGGAAGGCATGTCGTTGTTTCCCTCGCTTCGGTCGCTTAAAGACGCTATCCGGTGGTGCTAATTGCCGCTTCGACGGAGTTGACTTGCGTCGAGGCATTTCGTTTTGGGTCTGATGGTATCAGATTGATTTTATTTGGTTAGCTTCACGCGGATACTTAGTTGAGTACATGTAGCTTGCTAAGTCAACAACAGATCATCTACTGTAAACATGTACTTGAACTATATTACTTTGGCTAACCTTTTTCTGTGATACGTGTGATGCCCGCACGTCATGCAATTATTGCAATGCATGACTCCAGACCTTCGTATAACTTCCTTTGAGAAGTTTAACTGGATTAATCCCACAATTGCCACTTATGAGAAAAGATTATATTTGTGCCAATATCAAGTAATGCCATTACGGCTACAAAAACAGCGATGCTTCTATTGCGTTCATCTGTTGCTCCAATGAATCAAGTTGAGCTGTAGTCTCTGCTCGCCTTGATGCCATCCAGCTATCCACCTCCCGCGAATATAAGGCTGATAATCCGTCGTTTTTGAGCACGTGAGAAGCGTTGGCGGACTGCATCGGTTTCCGTTTGCGGCATTTTTTGAATAGATGTGCAGCCTTTAGAAGTTCTTGATCTATCACACCCTTACTCCGCTGCTTGGCGCTGCTTTGCTCGTTATATAAAAAGCGCTGCCGCCATGCAGCCTGAATAAGACTTGCAGCAACTTGGCGCAGAGCAGATTCCCATTTCATTTTGTCCAGTGCTGACAGGACCGCGTGCTCTCGCTTGGTACCCTTTAGAGAGTCCAGAAACTCAGATGTCATGAGCGATATGAAAGCCAAACCACCAACCACTGCCCCGAGAACTATGCAAACGCGGCCACCAAGAGTGACAGGATAAGAATCGCCATATCCTACACCCGTCATCGTGACGAGAGTGAGCCACAGCGCATGATCTTCTCCATCCAGCTTGGACGGAAATGGCCGCTCAAAAACGGAGACCGCAACGGCCGTGCTCACCCACAGCGACACGAAAAGAGTGAGAAGCACCTTGGATGGTCGCAAAGCGAATGATATTCGAAAACTCCACCACAACGAATCTGCCGGGACTCCTATTCCGTCAAGTGTCGCAGGACTCATTGACGTCGCTTTGTCCGCAACTAATTGTTTCAAGAGCTGGTTGCGAATTGCGCGACCAAACCAGTAGAGACGCACCAGCACGATCATATTCACAATTTCCAGAGGGTAGGAGTACTGAAGATCACAGGATTGCTGGCTAGTCGTCATTTGCAGAGGTCTTGGACACGCTGGAACTACTTCTAGCGTTGCTCGGGGTAGCGAATAGCGCTCTTCGTCAAAATAAACTCGTCCGTGCACGAATGGAGGAAGGAAAATGCCACAAAGTAATAACTCTGTCAGGAATGGAAGAAAAAGCAAGCGTGGCGACCTCCAGAGCGAGAAGCGACTATCCGAGGGAATTTGGTTTCGCAGTGCCATGATCTCCATCTTGACGGAGTAGCGATAATAAATTTGGTGAAGTAGAATCAACGTGGTAAGCAAAAGTAATGCCGCATTCGCTTCTCCTGGAGCTTGTAAAGGTAAATCGCGATGATACGTTTCAGATGAGCACCAAATCGCGCGGAATTGTAGCCACACAGTAGCGACAGAGAGTGCTGCTAACCCAATACAAAAATTATCGATGCGATCACGCAGCTTATACAGAATACGCAAGCGCTGCAGTGTGTTTAAATCCCGCTTGGTCGTAGCAGGAACCGATGCATTTAGCCTCATCGATGTCTTTGCATGCCCTCCATCAGTGTCAGAAAGGCCGAGAAAAACGGCAAAGCACATCTTGCAGCATTCTTTCTTCGAGAGCCATAATAGTGCTGCAGTAGCGAGAAGTAGAATGGCAAATGCAGGTGCGCGATCCCAATCGGACCACGGAAAGTATCGACTGAGTGAGCCAGTTTGCAACATCAACTGGGTGGTTGCATCAAATGTGCTTAAATCTCTTTGTGTGACGTTAAACGGAACAACTCGAAGCGATGTTAAGTGTGCGTACTGGGCATACGTGGATGGCGAGTAGGTGGCGATCTGGAAGAATTGACAGATTTCGAGGGGTAGCAGCAGTGCTATCACAAGAAACCCTCCGAACCATTTGCTAGATAATGACAGGGTATAGCGGAAAGGAAAGCGGAAGGTGATCTGGTCCAAGTGTAATCCAAACATTCGGGTACCAACCGGTGAAGCAAAGCTGGGGAAATACAAATCTTGCACTACCCAGAGCACATTCAAAGCAACGACGAGTGAGCTGAGTAGTGTGTTCCAAGAAACATTGCTTAGCCACGAATCCAAGCCATTCATCTCGTTCTCGCTCTCGAGGGCCCACTGTATACATTCACTCCGCACTTTAGAAATCGCGCCAAAGTAAATTCCACCGATAGCAAGCCCAAGCACAGAAATACAGCACCACAGAAGACGTACAGCCAGATATTCGGAATAGATTCGACGTATAGGAGACAGCCAATTTCCAAAACGAACGCGATTGTGTTCGCGGTCTTGAAGAACCCAATCTAGTGTCACTAGCAATTTTAGGCAGCTCAATGTGAGCAGTGTCGTCGATAGCGCCTGCTGTAACTCGATTTGACTCCGGTTGCTCCAAGTCTCATTCCTATCTTCCGGAAAAAGCCACTCATCGAGTACAGACTCGTGGACAATCTTTCTGATAAGATATATCGCTGCAGCCCAGAGGAATGGAAACACTGCTACCGTAAATGTCCAAGAGCCATGAGAAGACCCTATGTTCCACACTTGCACCCGAACCACCGGCGCGCCAGGTTTGTCATCAGCCACAAAAGTGTTAAGAACCATCACACTTTGGTGGTACGCTGTTTCGGTGGGAGTTATGCCGTTATTGATGTCAGTCGCAGAGGCTCTCGATAGCCTAAAAAAGGTCAGCGTGGCGTGGCGATAAGAGCTTTTCCAGTTCCATTGGTGCTGCACCAGTCGCGGATACACCACGAGTCGCAGGAAAAGCAACAATACAACGTTTAGTGCAGTTTGAAAAGCAATTTTCTGCCATGTAAAACCTGAAGTCACAATTTTTGCCAAGTCTCCATACACCGGAAAGCGGAAGGGGGTCTTTAGTGACGTCAGCAGCGGAGAGGTGACATGCTGATAGAAGCACAAGAGCAGGTGGATCAGACAGCACAGCACGCGAAGCATCGGGTGTCGAAGCGATGACACCACCCACGTAGACTTAAGATACACGTGGTCGCAACCGTCGGCGCCTCCGCTGTTAAAACGAGCCATAGGCCCGTTCCCAACCGGTGTTTTCACGACGCATGCGTCCTAAATGAACACTTTGCGATTTGGTTGGATAAAGCTGTGTATCATAGACAGTACATAAGAAACGCATGCGTCGTATGCGTTTTTCGTTTGGTCCAATCAGAATTGTGACGGCACCTTGCGCTAGAGGAAGTTATCTTCCGAGAGTTTAGTTCACAGGTCCCCTCTTTAATTAAAGAGAGCCAAGTGACCTAAATAAGGTAGATTGTAAACTGAGTATATTTATAGGTAGGTTAAGTTTGGGGTTTAATACAAACTATAAGTTACCTATAGAAATGCAATGTCGTTTAGCCAAATGGTTGGCTTTGAACGACCTTGGTACCTTGTACCAAATATCCCGGAGTATGACGTGTCATACTCCTGAAGTGTGAAGTGTCACACTTCATGTAACCAGGGTACACTTAGGGCTACGTACCCCGTTACATCCTCCCCCACTTAGGTTCGGTTTACCGACCAATCAGAATGAAGAAATGTTCGTCACATACTCTCATTCTCAAAGTCGAAAACCATCGACTTGGCCGCGCGAGCGCGGCGGAGGCTCACATCACAGTTTGGGCCTCGAGCAACAGTCTGTGCACTCCTCTTCTTGGTCTCCAAATCGACCGTTACCATGCCCCATGGCACTTCGAAGAGCGGTGCGAAGACACGCTTCAAGGCTGCTGCCGGAAAGGCGCAAGCCAAGAGCACTAAGCCTCACGGCTAATGCTCGGCACTTCAGGAGGCTACTAAGGTGGCCTACGAGGCGATGGGCTCAACGGGTGACGCGGCTGTGGGCAAGCGACGAGCAAGTGCCGCAGCCCGTCGCCCTTGACCTCCCCTGACAATCGTCCTAGCCCTCGGTTCGCTGAACGTGAGCTCGACTCTGGCAGTGAGGACGAAGCTGAGTCCGAGAGCACGCAGATGCTCCTGTGGGCTCTGCGGGAGGGCACAGACTAGTGCCCAGCGAGCACAAGACGACAGCGTGCAGTCGCTCGCTAGTGATCACGGGGATCACAGTCCCAGGACGTCGTGCACTCTGAGAGCCCGATTGTCAAGGCTAAGGGCACTCCCAAAGCTGGTGGCGATGAGGAAGAGAAACCTCGCAAACGTCTCTCACTTGCCGAGGGTCTTGCGCGTGCTAAGGCCTCTAAAGCCGAAGGCGCCAAGCCCTCTAAGAAGCGTTTGGCTTCGAAGGCTTCAGTCCGCGAGGATAAGGAGACTGGGTACTCCCATCGGGGCCTCTTCGACCCCTCGGATGAAGAGGACGAGAAGGAGGAGGAAGAGGAAGAGAGCGCTATTCCTGAGCCCCGGGAGATCTCTAACGACTTCGCCCAGAAGCAGGAGGACTTCCAAGCTGCCCAGCGTGCGCGTGGGGGTTCGGTGGTGGCGTCCGTCAGCCAGGGAGCTGTCATCAACTCAAGAGGGTATTGGCCTTACGAGGAGAGCTCTGAGGCTGACCTCTTCCTGGAGCTTCTCGTCGCTCCTCGTGGCCTTGTTGGCGGCCAGACTTCTATGAGCGTTTACGACCGCGCCCTTGTTCAGAAGGAGAAGTTTTTTGTTGACAACTTGAAGGCGGCTCGGTGTGTGCTTCTCGCGCCACACCGGATCCCACTGAAGGTCTTCACGATGTGTCGTAAGAAGTCCGAGAACCGGGGTGGTCTCTACCCTCTTTGGGGATACCCTGAGTTCTTCCCGAGATTCTGTCCCAACTGGAGTTCTTGTGAGGACATGTTCTGGGCTTGGGTGGTGTATCTCAAGTACTCACCCTCGGTGTTACGGGAACTCCATGAAGATCAGCTGCTGTCCCGCATCCTGGATGCGTGATCTTCGTGCTCGGTTTGCCCACATGGTCAGCAAGCGCATGTTGCCACGGGGCATTCTGAAGCGCGCGACTTCTAGCGCTCATGATGAGCGCGGGTACGGAGTGTCGTCAACGTCCGTACCCCGTTCGGGCAAAAAGCCCCGGACTACTTATGAAGCTGCCGCCGCTTCTGTTCCCAGATTGCGACAGCCTTTGGGCAGTCAATCAGGAGCCGTTCAATCGGATCCCACGAGTTCTCGGAGTGGGCATAACCCCTCCACTTCACGAGGAGCTGTCGCTTACCGCGACGCCGTTGCTCCTGGAGGATCCGCTCCACGTGGAAGTGGACTTCTCCATTCCGGCCAAGCAGGGGCGGAGGTGCCCTCGTACGAGTACGAGTACTCGGCGCCCCCCGAGAGCCACTCTCGTCCGAGTGCTCCGACTGCGGGTCCGACACAGGACCCTGAGGTTGACCGCCTCCGTCAACGTGTCCTCGTGCTTGAGATTGCACTTGACCTTGGGACTGGCGGTAATGCTGCCGCCCAGGCCGGGAATCAGGGCGAGCTCGCTCGTCTTGCGGGCCGCCTGGACCTGGTGGAGCGTGAGGTCGTGAGCATGCATCTGCGGGTGGACCGGCGGGCCTCTTCGTCCGATCTAGACGAGGCCTTCCGCATGATTCGACGGATCGGGGCTCTGCTGCCACGTCCGGGGCCGCCTGTGTCGCACTCCCAGTCGTACGCGTATGTAGCGTACCCGGCGTTCTCAACGTACTTGGCGTACGGCTCAGGGGTTCGTTCGTACGGAGCCCCTCCTGCGTACGGACTTGGCCGCAGCCTTGCCGTCCCGACCGAGGCTTGGGTGCCTGCTCCGACGTCCTCGTCGACGACTGTGACCGGCCCTCGCTTCGAGGAGCTGGGTCAAGGGGGGTCTGCGAGTCAGCAACCCCTTGCGGGTCAAAGTACCGCTTAAGACGTCCGACATAGAGCGTCGGGTGCGTCGTCATTGACTTTGGAAGGTCGATTGTGTACGACGCACCATGTCTGGCCAGGACTGCAAAAGGTTCGATGAAGCGGTGCTTCAGTTTGTTGCTGCCGACAGAGCTGACAGTGTCAAGAGGTAGGTTCCTCGTGTCTAGCAACACTAAGTCCCCAACCTCAAATATACTTAAGTTTCCTTTTCCTTGTTTGTCTGAGTACTCCTTTTGTTTATCTTGGGCCGCTGCCATGGCATCGCGGGCCCTGCTGACAATGTTCAGCTTGGTGTCCATAAAGGATTCCACCTGTTTCCGCAGCGAAACTGGTCTCACATCCGAGACCTGGGAGGAAATGGCTTTCCGAGCCTCCCCCCCACTTAGAATAGAGAAGTCGGTGTCTTCTCGAAGAGTGAGAGGCACTCTGGGGTGGCGGAAGCCGCTCAAGTAGAACGGCGTGAACCCCGTGGACGCGTGCACCGCGTTGTTGAGCGCAAACTCAACAACTGGAAGCTGCGTCGACCACGTACGTGGTGCTGCCGCGCACACACTGCGCAGAGTGCCCATGAGCACTCGATTGACGCGCTCTGTCTCGCCGTCTGTCTGCGGATGGCCCGCAGTGGACATCTGCAGACGAGTTCCCAGTAAAGGGAACAGCGTTATCAGAACGCAGCAGTGAACCGCGGGTCTCGGTCCGAGACAATCGTCTCCGGGAGACCATGATAGCGGAACACGCCATCGACGAACAACCTTGCGGTTTGTTCACCCGTAACAGTGACGGAAACTGGAGCAAGATGTACCATCTTGCTCAGCCGACACACGAACACCAAAATTCCGGTGTTGCCGTGTCCGTCGGCGGGAAGCCCAAAGATGAAGTCA